CTTTCTGCGTTTTATTTTTATGGGTATCTCTTATGGTTCTGGAGTTATAGCTGTTTAATGTGGGTCAAATAAGCTGTGTGTCACTGTAGTTATTTATCGAAACCAAATTTTTTTTTTTAAAAAGGTTTTTTTCTGTCAATGCTTTCCGCAAAAATTAACTAATACGCCTATGAAAGTCTGACGAAAAGAAAAAGAATGACTCGGAAAAAACCTTATTTTCAATGTAAAGTGGTTAACGAAATGATGGAACGGGAACCATCAAAAATTGTTACCCGAGATTTCTATATCAAAAATATGAAAATTTTAATTTTGCAATATATTTTGATGTTTTATTTTATACCTTGTATACCCGTAATTCGTAAAGTAAGATGGGTTTAACAAACTTATAAAACTGATACGGATCCTTTGCACTTTTTATATGTGTCGATTTTAAGGTTCTTAACTCAACGGGTTTCAAAGATACAAAAGCCCATGACGTGTTCAAAGAGTTACCTATAAAGCTTATTTGCCGGATATCTCCCGTTCTTCGACAGTGTCGAATTATGGCTAAAATTTAGGAAACAAATTCCTTCGAACACGAATGAAGACATATGTAGCAAAAGGAATTCCCGTAATTCGTTCAACGAGTTCCGAGAAATCGGAGTAAAAATATGGTTCAATAAGCTGTGAGATGTTAATAGTATTATTATTCACCATATACATACTTGGTGTTGATGATTAAACTTCTCTGTATTTTAGTATCCAAACCAAAATTTGATTTTCATGGATAAAAATGTTTTTTGTTAATGCTTTTCATTGGCTTTTCGGAAAACTAATATTATGGATACAATACGCCTTTCAAAGTCTAATGAAAAGTAAATTTAAGTACAAAAAAACTTTATTTTCAAAGTACAGTGGTTCACGAAATGATGTCACAGAATGCTTAGAATATTTTTAGTAAACGGACGAACTAAGCTAGAGATTCAAACGCTGGAGTTCTCATGAACAACTAAACTTTTACTCTACGAGTAACGGGTATAAAGTTTGTTTTTATCTTTGGTTCTCTTCATTCCTCTTTGAACGTTATTTCAAATCACTATATTTTAAATTGAAAATGTATAGAAACAAGAATCTTAACAAGAAGAACACTATAGTGTCGAACTCCACGACTATCAAAAAACGTAATTTTTTTAATCAGTTTTATAACAAATATGCCCCTAATAGATGGTACTGGCGCTAAAGTGAATTTATCTGCTAGCGCTGACGTCTTTGTTCCTGTTTAACTTAATTTTGAATAAATTCTAAATTAATTTAAAAGTAAAGTCTAAAACAATTTAAAGTAAAAGTTAAAAAAAAGTTAAGGTTTACGCCATTAGAATTTGGTGTGTTTTTTAATCGTTTTAATTATTGAATATGACCGATGCCATCGTTGTCTTATTTTCTTCTCGATCGGAGCTTGACAGCACATCTTTCAGTTCTACTTCTATCATTTTATAAATTCGTGCAAAAAACGGAGTATCAGTCAAGTTTGTGTAGATTTTGTGCAACCGGTTTAAGATGATGAGGAAAAACTTGATCGGTTGTTCTTAATTTCGATATAAATTGTCCAGCTCCTTCGTTGGTCTTTACTTCAGCTATGGTACTTTCCTTAGCTTTGGTATACTTTGAGTCTAGCACAACAATGAGTTTAACAGATATCCGACCTTATCAAAAATAGATCTGCGTAGTCGACAATACCAAATAAAATGGTGGTAGGTCCCTGACTTATTGTGTTAGCTTAGTTTTTCCAGAATTGAACCGCATGTTTGTGCGTTACGCACCATTGAGCATAAAATACAAATATCGCTCTCACAGCCACTAAAAAGAGCTTTTGTTCTCGGCTTAAGAGGACAACCCAAAAACAGGAGAGTAGCCCTGTCCGTCTGTCCGTCCGTTCGTCGGTCCGTCCGTTTCTACGCAAACTTGTCCCTCAGTTTTAAAGCTATCTGATTGAAACTTTCCCAAATGTTGTCTTTCTATTGCAGGTAGTATATAAGTCAGAACGAGCCGGATCGGGCGACTATATCATATAGCTGCCAAAGGAACAATCAGAAAAAAAATTTTAAAAAATTATTACCTTTTGTTTTTTTTTGTGCTGCTTGCACAATGGACAATCCGTTCAACGGATGGTAGATGGTATATGGATATCTGTGGGAAGACGCCATCAAGTCTAGTTATTTCGACTTTTGCTTACTTAACTTGATAACACCATAACCCGACGTAGATTGGATATAGCCTTCCATGCGTGTGAAAATAAGCCCGAAAATTGTATCCAAAAATGTTGTTAAAGATATTTTATGACAAATTATGAAGTAACAAATTATATTTTGTAAATATCAGAATAACGATACAGGACTATTTGATAAGCGTGACTACGATAGCGTGCAGGGACCATAAATATTTTAAAAATAAAAATGATATCGAGCTTTCCTAAATGTTCGATTTCTACTATGTATAACGACACTGTATCTTGCCAATAAGACGAAAGTCTGTACCTATATGTATATGGCCACATTTTTTTAAGATTTATAGATGTGAATTTAATTAATAGCCATAATAGAAAACTTGGTCCTCCTATGATTATATTTCTCGATAGACCCTATTTGTTAACGAATATAATAAACGTTAAACTCAGGGGCAGTTTTGTTCACTATTTACAATTAACCACTATATATATCTGCTTCCGTATCGTTCAACGTTATTTCATAAACAGGAAATTATCAGGACAACATAGGTGCCCATCAATAAATCACTCAGGGAAAAGTTTTTAATAGCAGGTGCAACCACTAATAAAAACAACAGTATGATGACAGCATACTTATTAATATACCAAAACAAATGGGTTCCGAGGCATAATGCGTAATTGTGAAATAATAATTTATTGTGAAATAATAACGAAATGGTAACAAAGATAGGTGCACTGTTACCTACATAACTGGGCAACTTAAACAAATCAGAAATAATATACAGAAAAATTAGTTATGTCAGCAGCACATAATAAATATATATTATAGAAAAATTATATACATTGAGGCTATGGAAATGCGAGAAATTTAAGTTTAGCATTGCTGGTAATCATTAGGTCAAGACCCGAGCCAGCAGGTCTTGAGGATGATGGCGTTTCAGTATTCTCCTGACCGTAGTGCGATGACTCGGCGTTAGTCGCCTAGCTGGGCTGTTAGGATGACCTCCAAGCCTCTCCGTGTATTTTTGTGCAATCGCCCGAATTTTATCCCCAATTTTTGGTACTTTGAAGTCGGGCTCTATGTCCGCCGTTCTCATGTACCATGGAGCTCCTGAGATCCTCCTCAGCGTCTTGGCTTGAAGTACCCGTATTCTGTTGAGGTGGGTTTGTGATACCGTACACCTGTATTGCGTAGAAAAAGTTCGGAGCTGGAGTTCTCATGAACAACTAAACTTTTACTCTACGAGTAACGGGTATAAAGTTTGTTTTTATCTTTGGTTCTCTTCATTCCTCTTTGAACGTTATTCCAAATCACTATATTTTAAATTGAAAATGTATAGAAACAAGAATCTTAACAAGAAGAACACTATAGTGTCGAACTCCACGACTATCAAAAAACGTAATTTTTTTAATCAGTTTTATAACAAATATGCCCCTAATAGATGGTACTGGCGCTAAAGTGAATTTATCTGCTAGCGCTGACGTCATTGTTCCTGTTTAACTTAATTTTGAATAAATTCTAAAACAATTTAAAAGTAAAGTCTAAAACAATTTAAAGTAAAAGTTAAAAAAAAGTTAAGGTTTACGCCAGTAGAATTTGGTGTGTTTTTTAATCGTTTTAATTATTGAATATGACCGATGCCATCGTTGTCTTATTTTCTTCTCGATCGGAGCTTGACAGCACATCTTTCAGTTCTACTTCTATCATTTTATAAATTCGTGCAAAAAACGGAGTATCAGTCAAGTTTGTGTAGATTTTGTGCAACCGGTTTAAGATGATGAGGAAAAACTTGATCGGTTGTTCTTAATTTCGATATAAATTGTCCAGCTCCTTCGTTGGTCTTTACTTCAGCTATGGTACTTTCCTTAGCTTTGGTATACTTTGAGTCTAGCACAACAATGAGTTTAACAGATATCCGACCTTATCAAAAATAGATCTGCGTAGTCGACAATACCAAATAAAATGGTGGTAGGTCCCTGACTTATTGTGTTAGCTTAGTTTTTCCAGAATTGAACCGCATGTTTGTGCGTTACGCACCATTGAGCATAAAATACAAATATCGCTCTCACAGCCACTAAAAAGAGCTTTTGTTCTCGGCTTAAGAGGACAACCCAAAAACAGGAGAGTAGCCCTGTCCGTCTGTCCGTCCGTTCGTCGGTCCGTCCGTTTCTACGCAAACTTGTCCCTCAGTTTTAAAGCTATCTGATTGAAACTTTCCCAAATGTTGTCTTTCTATTGCAGGTAGTATATAAGTCAGAACGAGCCGGATCGGGCGACTATATCATATAGCTGCCAAAGGAACAATCAGAAAAAAAATTTTAAAAAATTATTACCTTTTGTTTTTTTTTGTGCTGCTTGCACAATGGACAATCCGTTCAACGGATGGTAGATGGTATATGGATATCTGTGGGAAGACGCCATCAAGTCTAGTTATTTCGACTTTTGCTTACTTAACTTGATAACACCATAACCCGACGTAGATTGGATATAGCCTTCCATGCGTGTGAAAATAAGCCCGAAAATTGTATCCAAAAATGTTGTTAAAGATATTTTATGACAAATTATGAAGTAACAAATTATATTTTGTAAATATCAGAATAACGATACAGGACTATTTGATAAGCGTGACTACGATAGCGTGCAGGGACCATAAATATTTTAAAAATAAAAATGATATCGAGCTTTCCTAAATGCTCGATTTCTACTATGTATAACGACACTGTATCTTGCCAATAAGACGAAAGTCTGTACCTATATGTATATGGCCACATTTTTTAAGATTTATAGATGTGAATTTAATTAATAGCCATAATAGAAAACTTGGTCCTCCTATGATTATATTTCTCGATAGACCCTATTTGTTAACGAATATAATAAACGTTAAACTCAGGGGCAGTTTTGTTCACTATTTACAATTAACCACTATATATATCTGCTTCCGTATCGTTCAACGTTATTTCATAAACAGGAAATTATCAGGACAACATAAGTGCCCATCAATAAATCACTCAGGGAAAAGTTTTTAATAGCAGGTGCAACCACTAATAAAAACAACAGTATGATGACAGCATACTTATTAATATACCAAAACAAATGGGTTCCGAGGAATAATGCGTAATTGTGAAATAATAATTTATTGTGAAATAATAACGAAATGGTAACAAAGATAGGTGCACTGTTACCTACATAACTGGCAACTTAAGCAAATCAGAAATAATATACAGAAAATTTAGTTATGTCAGCAGCACATAATAAATATAAATTATAGAAAAATTATATACATTGAGGCTATGGAAATGCGAGAAATTTAAGTTTAGCATTGCTGGTAATCATTAGGTCAAGACCCGAGCCAGCAGGTCTTGAGGATGATGGCGTTTCAGTATTCTCCTGACCGTAGTGCGATGACTCGGCGTTAGTCGCCTAGCTGGGCTGTTAGGATGACCTCCAAGCCTCTCCGTGTATTTTTGTGCAATCGCCCGAATTTTATCCCCAATTTTTGGTACTTTGAAGTCGGGCTCTATGTCCGCCGTTCTCATGTACCATGGAGCTCCTGAGATCCTCCTCAGCGTCTTGGCTTGAAGTACCCGTATTCTGTTGAGGTGGGTTTGTGATACCGTACACCTGTATTGCGTAGAAAAAGTTCGGAGCTGGAATGCGAAAGCTTGTTTTTAGCGGAGAGTAGCCAGGACATGCGATTTAACTTAGTTCTATAAGAATGCAGCAGCGACTTGACATTGCTTTCGAGTTTGAGCTTTCTGTCTAGAATGACTCCTAGATATTTGTGTGATGTTGAGTGAGTTAACACTCTACCATTAAGCGTCACACTCGGGCAGTTTAGCGCCCGATTTGCGAAGGTCACGTTTGCGCATTTATCTGCATTGATGCACACGTTCCAAATCCTAGCCCATTCCTGAAATGCATCTAGATATTCTTGGAGACCTATTTTTGCCAGGTCTATGGAGCTGTTTCTGGTGAGCACCGCGGTATCGTCAGCGTAGGTTGCAACCAGCGTATCCCTTCCTGCAAGTGCTGTGATTGACGAGTGGTTTGGCATGTCGTCAGAGAATAGTGTATGTAGGGCCAAGCACACTACCTTGTGGAACGCCCGCTTCTATGGGCCTGGACAGTGCTGAGACGGCATGTCTGGCATGCGCGACCGCTCAGTCGCCTTCTCTTTTCGGACGTTGATGCACTATGATCAGCGCAAACAAGTGGCCCTTACGACACCAAGCAGTGCTTGTTACGCGCGGAGCCTAATAGGCGTAAAAACGAGATCGCGAGAAGTTAAAAGCACAATGTAGAAGCGGACAGACTAAGATTACAAATACGTACGAGACTAATACTAATACTAATTTTGTGCTAGGTAAGATAAAATTAATGATTTTAGGCTTGGCAAAGAGTCGGTAGTAGAAATAATGTGGTATAGTCTATTATAGACGTTACACAGTACTCTAAACGGTTCATGCATATCAAAGTTAGATCTACAAATATTTAATGTAAGAGGAACATAGTTCCTGGTAATTCTATTAGGCACGGAGAAGCTTATGCGACCCAGTAACTCGGGACTCTCCACATCCCCGTGAATAAGTTTATAGATAAAAGTTGTGCCAAGCATCGTTCTACGGTTTACTAAGGATGGTAGATTAATTAGGAGAAGTCTACTAGAGTAGGATGGTAAAATAAGGCTTGCATTCCAGTTAAGGCCCCGTAGAGCAAATAATAAAAAGTTCTTTTGCACAGACTCTATCCGGTCTATATGTGCACCATACTGAGGACTCCAAACTGCAGAACAGTACTCCAGGATTGGACGGACTAGTGAAATGAAGAGAGTCTTTGTAACATAGGGATCATCGAATTCCTTTGACCACCTTTTAATAAATTCAAGTACTCCCCTGGCTTTATTCACCATAGAAGTAATATGGTCACAAAACTTAAGTTTAGGGTCAAGGAGGACGCCAAGGTCATCGACATGCGTAATTCTAGACAACGCGCAACCACCCAGCGTATACGTTGCATATTGTGGGTTCACCCGAAAAAAGTCATTACTTTGCACTTAGCGCTATTTAAATCCAAAAGATTTTCACAACACCATGTTTGAAAAGCGTTTAGGTCAGATTGTAAGTCTGAACTGCTAGAAATTTCGTTATATTGCAGGCATAACTTAACGTCATCTGCGTACATAAGGACACGCGACTTTGTCAAGACTAGAGGGAGATCGTTTATAAATAAAGTAAAAAGAAGTGGGCCAAGGTGGCTTCCTTGTGGGACGCCCGAAGTAACTCGGATCAAATCAGAGATCGAGTTTTTAAAGAGGACTCGTTGAGTCCTACCACTCAGATAACTTGAGATCCATGTTAGAAGATCACATGGAAACCCTAATAAGTCTAGCTGTAATACAAGTAGCGAGTGATTTACTGAATCAAACGCTTTACTAAAGTCAGTGTAAACTACGTCAGTCTGCATGTTCTTTCTAAAGCCATTTATTACAAAAGACGTTAGCTCCAAGAGGTTTGTCGTCGTAGATCTTCGCCTTATAAATCCATGTTGACATGGAGATATAATCGATCTACAAAGATGTTGCAAATGGGGTGTAATAGTGTTTTCGAAAAGCTTTGGGATGGCGGATAATTTGGATATGCCTCTGTAATTACTTGTATTGCATTTATTTCCTTTCTTATGAAGGGGAATGACAAATGACTTCTTCCAAATAAGTGGGAAATGAGATGTTTTTAAAGACAAGGTAAACAATTTGTACAGAGGTCTACACAGAGTTTCAGCACAGTACCTCAGCACGCAGCCTGGAACTCCGTCCGGACCCGGTGAATAGACAGGCTTAACTTTATGAAGATCCAAAAGAAGGGAGCTTTCGCTTAACCTCGGACAAAAAATCAAGTTGATATAAAAAATAAAATACTTTATTGTATCGACATCATTTTTATTGCTGTATATGGTAGGCTATAAGCTATAAAATATATAATTGTATAAATCTTACAGAGTACGAGTTCGAGTGAAGTACATTCATTAGCCACTAAATACTATTATATAAATTTAAATCGTATTGTAAATGATGACGGAAAGGTAATATATGTACGCTATTTTTAGTGAGCAGGATCTGTTCCATACAATTTCAAGTGCATAATGCATTTCGAATACATTTTTCAAATATTTTAAATAGAATTTTATTATTTTTTTGATTTACCCCATTTTTGAGACATTTTCCATTTTGTGAAAGTAGCACTTTAAGAAATTCTGTATACAACAAATAAAAAACAAAAGAAGAGAAAAGAATCATACATATAATGTAACAAATTACTGAATGGGAAAAATAAATAATTCAAATGAAAAATTAAAAAGTGGGGCCTTAATTACTCTTAAATGCTAGTCCTACGAACACATATTAAGTTCGACTTGGGTATGGCATTTGAATAAGACGGATTTTGACGGGATGAAACAGAATATGTTGTCTGGAAAAACTGGGCAAATAGATCGGCAATTGCCTGATCAGAATTTGCCGTAGAGTTTTCGAATGATAGTGATGCAGGGTAACAGGCGGATTTACGCTTAGTGTTAACAAAATTATAAAACTGTTTTGGATCTTGAAAATTGGACCCTACAACGAGTCAAATAGTTTTTATAACACCGGGCGTTAAGCACGATAAAATTTGACCGAGCCCTTAGGTACCGAGAGAAGGCAGATTGTGAACCGCACATTTTAAATTTATTGAAAAGTCTGGACTTAATATTTTTTAGGTGTGACAACTCTTTATTAAACCATGGAGGTTTATTTGAAATTGACGGATAGTATAACGGAACACACAGATAAAAGAAGGAATTCAATGCATTATAAAAGATATTAACGGCCTTAGCCACGTTAGTGCATGAATAAAATTCGGACCAGTCATAGCCGGATATAAAAGTATTTAAAAGATGAAAGTTTGCCTTACGAAAGCAGCGGATTCGTTTAACCGACTTTTCGGATTTTTTATTCAGCTCTGTTCTTGCGTCTACAGTCAGCTCTAGAGTTGGATGATAGGGATCTTCCGGTTGTGTAAGTGGTGACGTTCTTGATAGGCAAACGCCTTCTGAATTTGAAACAAAACACAAGTCCAGTAAACGTCCTAAGGAGTTCTTAACATGGTTCACTTGGGATAGCGCAATGTCAAGCAAGCCGTCAATAAAGTCATGCTGCGCTAAAGGAAGTAAAATGTTAGAGTTTTCGTCAGGGGACCATGTCGCACTAGGTATATTAAAATCACCTAATACAATTAACTGATCTCGATCCGACAGTTTTTGGAAATGGACTGAATAACGGAAAGGTGATTTGCGTAAATAGGGAACTCAGATGATGGTGGGATATATGAACAAGTAATATATACAAAACTACCGGGAAACGATAATTTTATACCTAGGAATTCGATGTCATAAAAGTCTTCGAAAGTTAGTAATTCAGACGAAAAGGTGGAGTCGACAGCAATCAGGACTCCACCTCCCCGTCTGAACTGGCGATCAAGCCTATAAATTGTGTACTTACCCGGGAGAATTTCGGAGCTAAGAATATCCGGCCTTAACCAGGTCTCTGTACATACCATAATATTATATGGGAAAGAAAAACTATCAGAATACAATTTAGTCAGCTTACTAAGTAAGCCTCTTGTATTCTGATAGCAAAGAAGAAAAGAGGAGGCTAGTTTTTTGGGACAGAAGAGGATGTGGAGGGCGCTGGGGATGGTTCTTTAATGGTGTTTTCCATTTCCCCTGAACTATTCTTTTTTCTCTTAGCTTCGTACCCTTTTACAAATATGCCCTTGGGCCAGAAACTGGTGGAACACACAGATGCAAAAAGAGCACAAGGAATACCAATCTTAAATGATGATACTTTCCTAGCATAAG